GATCTATCACATACTTTATAAATGCTTACAACCTATAACATCAACTGGCATGCTTATATACCTTTAAGACTGAACACTTAGATACTTTAACATATAAACACTTCAATTACATTAACAAGCAACTCATGCTTACAGGTAGGATCATACTAATAAACCATATAACAGGTATTCTTATGATCTCACATTCTCATCACATAAACTTGATATACAAGGCTTCAAATATAACAAAATAATCATGCTCGATGAACAATCTTAAATCAACATTCTCATTATGTAATCTCATGCGATATTATACTCAAATGCAATCTTGTGCAACACTATTCATCATACAAATATGCAATCTTGTGCAATGATATACATCATACTCATATGCAATCTCGTGCAATACTATAATCATACTCATATGCAATCTCGTGCAATACTATAATCATACTCATATGCAATCTCGTGCGATACTATAATCATACTCATATGCAATCTCGTGCGATACTATAATCATACTCATATGCAATCTCGTACGATACTATAATCATACTCATATGCAATCTCGTGCGATACTATAATCATACTCATATGCAATCTCGTGCAATACTATAATCATACTCATATGCAATCTCGTGCAATACTATAATCATACTCATATGCAATCTCGTGCAATACTATAATCATACTCATATGCAATCTTGTGCAATACTTTAATCATACTCATATGCAATCTCGTGCAATACTATAATCATGTGCAGTTCTATATTCATATGCAATCTCGTGCAATACCATATATATATATATATATATATATATATATATATATATATATATATATATATATATATATATATATATATATATATATATATATATATATATATACTCATACACTCTTTATAAAAAAAATAGAGTACTTTCTGTGGAGGTCTCTTTCTTTCTTTCTTTCTTACTTTTGAGTCTCTCTTGACTCGTTTTCTTTCTCTTGAGTCTCTCTTGACTTACTTTCTTTCTTTCGAGTCTCCCTTGACTCACTTTCTTTCTTTTGAGTCTCTATTGACTCGCTTTCTTTTCTTCTCGCTCGTAGACGGCTCAGGGTTCCACCGAAGCGTGAATTGCCCCATCGGGAACAGCGTAAGTCCGACCCAATATTTCCTACCGTCTACGGAACCAATCTCGTGGTTCTCGCGCTGTAGAATCAGGTATCAAACTTTAACGGCCCGTTTGGTTCACGGAATAGGCTGGGAATGGCATAGCATTCCCAGTAATAGGCCTATTCTTTTGTTTGGTAACCATGTCTATTACCAAGCTTAGTATTCCTAGTAATAGCCTATTACCTCAAATAAGGTAATAGCTATTACCAGGGCCCCCCCCCCCCCCCCCCTGGTATTAACTTATTCCTGAGCCCTCAGGAATAGAATTTTTTTTTCAATTTTAACCTTTATCGTTCTCTGCGTTCTCTCCCCCATCTACGATTCCTTCCCCGATTCTTTTCATTATCAGCATCACTCAAACAATTTCATCCGCCATTCTGCATCAATCAAACAATTTCATCCGTCATTCTGCATCAATCTGCAATTCTTTCTATCATCTACATCAACATCAAATTAATGCTTCAAACAAAGGTAAGTTTCTGAATTTTAATTTTTACAAATTAATTATTATTAATATTTAATTATATAAATATATACATATATATACTGCATATATATATATATATATATATATATATATATATATATATATATATATATATATAATCGCACTCAGGTGCGAATGCTTCGCCCAGGCGCGAAATAGGAATGAATTCTGTTCGTCCACGTGTCCAGATCTAATGGATGAGAAACACTGATTTTTTAAAAAAACACGGTGGCATTTTCGTAAATAATTGAACATCGAAGTGCAAGTAAAATGTATTACAAGTGCATGTAAAATGTATTATAGGTGCAAGTAAAAATTTACACTGAGCATCAATACTTAGTTGCACCTATAGTTCTAAGTAGTTGCACATATCGTTCTAAGTAGGTGCACACATAGTTATAAGTAGTTGCACCTAGGTGTATGAATGCTTGCGAGTGGTTTTCAGGGGTATTACTACCTGCTGAACTCAGATCAATGAATGTTAACAAGGAAAAATTACATGCACTTATAGGTGAAAGTAGGTGCACCTATAGTTATAAGTAGTTGCACCTATAGTTATAAATAGTTGCACATATAGTTATAAGCACACCCAGGTGCATGAATGTTTGCGGAAAGTGATGTTAACAAAGCAAAATTACATGCACTTATAGGTGAAAGTAGGTGCACTTGTGAGTGATTTTACTTGCACTTCGATGTTCAATTATTTACGAAAACGCCACCGCGTTTTTTTAAGTTATTAGATCTGAACACGTGTCGCGCGCTGATTCATTTGCATTTCCCTCCTGAGCACTTATTCGCACTTGAGTGCATCCCTATATATATATATATATATATATATATATATATATATATATATATATATATATATATATATATATATATATATATATATATATATATATATATATATATATATATATATATATATATATATATATATACTGCTGCGGCGCGGAGGGTTCCGCAGCCGCAGCAGTATTGTTTTTTTTTTTTAATTTATTGTTTATTATTTTTATATTTTATTTTATTTTTCTGCAAAAGTGTTATTGTTTATATTGTTTTTTTTTATCACAATAGTGTTATTATTATTATTATTTTTTATAGTAGTGTTATTGTAATCTGTATAAGTTAAGTTCTAAATTAAATTTGCAGTTATGGCTCAATTGCGTTTAATAACTCATACTGAAAGAAGGAAAAGATGTGTAGCTATGTTGCGTGGGGTTGAAAATGAATTTTCTCAAAAAGCTATTTAGATGAACCCTTGTTTAAAGTCTTTTTGAATTCTCCCGGTCTCACTCAGATAAATTTATCGATTTAAAACTTGGTACGCGAAGTACCAGAAAATTAGGAATTTCGAATTAAATAGGTTTTGGTGTCGAATTAATTTAAAATGTGACAAAAATAATTTATTCAAACACCAATTGATCACAAAAATTTTTAATGGAGTGAAAATAGCTATTTTCAGAATTTCTTAAAATTGGATTTATAAAATAAAATTTTGGGTTGTTATAGTGGGTGCTCCCACTATCCACTAGGATCATCACTTGTTGTTTATGGACAGATCCTAAGAGTTTGATGATATTCAATCCTTCCCTACCCATCATGGCATATAATGAAACCTCAGCTTGCTCATTTCCATCCACCTCTTCCTGTTCATGTTCCTCAGTACTCATCTCCTCATATGCATCATGGAACTCACCTTCTTCAATAACATTGAAGGTCCCTTGCACTTATCCCCGGGTTGCCAAGGCTCAAGACATTTAAAGCACTTATTCTATTCCCTCAGGGCCTTTAGTGGTGCTGCTCAGATTATTGGAAGTTGTGGATCCTTGGGAGTTGGTAGGCTTAGGATTGTATGTCTGATTGTATGGTTTAGTGGTTTGGGAGGTGGTTATAGGTTGGGAAGGTTTGGCTATATAGTGGAAGGTTGGTTTAGGCTACTCATTGGTTTTTAATCTTCTCTCAAATTGTTTGGCAAACCATATGGCATCTGCCAAGGTTGTAGGTTGTGTGGTTCTCACAAAACATCTTAGGTTAGGCTTGAGTTTGGCTATGAAGGCCTCCAGGAAGTAGGAATCGGTGAGGGTGGGGTGTTTTTGTTAAACCCCAAACCTTCTACATACAGCTTCTGCAAAATGTACCCAATGAAAAGGCCTTTCCAACCCAGTCAGATAACTCTCAAACCACAGGCCACCCTTCCAGTAATATTTATATACAATACATGCATCACCTCAATCTTAGGGATGTGAGACATCAAGAAGAATCTCTCACACCGATTAATCCACAGTCTAGGTTGATTGTAATCGAAAGGGGGGAAATCATACCTATACCTCATCATAGGAGAATTCACATTCTACCTTAGCGGTGTTGCTGCAAATCGTCCCTTCTCGGTATCCATTCGGTGTTGATTCCCTTCGGTTCCACCTCACTGCCGGATTCTTTGCCATCAATTGCACCTTCTCCCGCTCTAGCTGTTTGGATGAACACTCCTACGGTAGGAGCCTTTCCTAGCCTCCTCCCTGACTGGAAGTTAACCAGAGGCTCTTGCCTTGCACTGTTCACAGAGAAAGCTCCAAGAACTAAATCCAGTACCAGTGGCGGTGGTTGATTGAGCTGGATTGTTTCTACAATTTCATCTTTCCAACTGTTCATTCTACTATCCATATGAGCAATTAGCTTTTCCATGAATTCTTGTGTTGATTTTTTCTACGCCTCCATCCGATTACTTAAATCAGCCACCACAATCTCCAATTGACTCATTCGCGCCTCCATTTGGGCTCTAATACTAGATGTAACAGACCTAAGGTTACAGAGAAAGAGAGAGAAGAAGGAAGAAGATAGACGAGAGAGAAGAGAGAATTTAGAGAGAAAAGTGATTTCATTTAAATTCCAGAACAAAGAAGTTACATTCTGATTATTCTCTATTTACAATCTAGAAGAGTCTTAGGCAACTAACTTTCGGATTGTAATGACTTCGAACACAAACGACGCCGTTGGACTAGCTCGTAACCGCTGAGCAACCGACTCCTTAAACTATGACATCTAAAGCCTCTTTATGCAGCGACTTTAACATCTCTTCCTACGACACCATTTTACTGCTACCCGATTCCATTAGCAATTTCTTAGCTCATTACATATAATTACGAAAATAATGTCTTAAAAACAGATGAGTTAATTATTGCAAAATATCAATTTTAGTGAATCAGCTATTGTGTTTTTCAATTAGACTCATCTCCAACCATATCGAAATTGGCATTTATAGCAAAATTTAAGACTGATATAGTAATATGGTAAATCCTATGATTAAATTTAACACAGTTTTACTAATCAAGATCTAAAAACTTTAGTTGATTTCTAGCTCAGATGAAAATTAATTGAAAGGCCAAAATGAGAATTAACCACATTCCACTAATACCCACCCAATTGAACAAGTGTTGTTTTCCAACTGAGCGTTTTATTCTGAGGTAATTATTGTAGTGTTCACCCACGACTCTCACTCTCCTAACATGACATAATTTATGAATTTTACAGCATTATTCTATATATATATATATATATATATATATATATATATATATATATATATATATATATATATATATATATATATATATATATATATATATATATATATATATATATATATATATATATATATTTTCTATGCAAGTGAATAGACAAATACAACCAATTTCAAAGGACTACAAAGCTTCAAGTAGCCTAGCGAAAAGACAGTGTGCTTGGTGAGTCAATTCTCACAATGTGCTCATCCTCACAACCCGATTCGTCACTTGATTCACCTCTACCCTCATGCACTGGACGTTCGGTTACACTGTGTTCTTTCTTGTATCCTGGAGCTTCAGCATGCTTGGACATGGTGCAAGATCCCTCTGATCTTGCAGAAACAAGATGTCGAGCATAATTTGATGGAATACTTGGATATGACCGACTTAGAGAAGGTTTGATTTTGTTATTTCTTGTAAAACTTGGAACACGCCCTTTGGTGTTGTTCACCTGCAAATCAAATTAACAAGATACAGCAATGTTAACACATAACTAGCTCACAATGGGGTGGAGGATAGGAATAATGCAATCTTAACACATTAGTTGTTGAACCTTTTTTTTTCTCCATTCCCAATACTACCTTTCTTCGGAAGTATAAGCTCTTTTGTAAGTAAACTTTTTATTCATCAAAGCTGAAGGATATTTAAAAGTTAGTTTTTGCTTAGTACTACATCCCAACTTATTTGAAAGTCATACAAGGAACCAAATATATGATAAGTAATATCCCAACTCTTGAGCAATAGGGGTGTTCAATGAACAGATAGGAGCAGATTTGGGGTGAATTTGCATCCAATCTACCGAAGGCAGATTTAGAATCTCGCATCTGCTTGGAGTGCGAATCCAATCTAATCCGACTCGCAATGGAAGATTGGATGCGGAACATAGGGCGGATCCTAAGTTTAAAAAAATAAATTATAATAGCTAGAATAGTTCAATTCATTGAAACTCCTTTATAGTCAAAACAAAAACATAGTGATTATAACTGACCTTGCTACCAAAAATGCTTAGTTGCATTGCCCGTGTGGACAAGCTGTTTTCCTGTTGATTAGTGCCTTCTAGATTGTGATGTCCTCTGAACATAGAAGAATGTTCAGGCCAACTCATTAGGCTCCCATGCTCTCTACTAAGCGATCTTGAGTGGTGCTCGGTTGGATATAACATAAATGAAGATGACCTTCTACGGAGGTTTCTGTCTGCTTCAAATGCTCCAATATCAAACATGATCACCCTAGCTCTTGTCTCAACTTGATACCACCGTGCTTGATGAGAAAAACTGCCGGCTCTGGAACCTATTTTAATTTGTAGCAGAATAAGGAAGAATAGTTGGGTTGAGATTGCTTCAAAGCCATAACTTTTGAGTATGAATTAGTAAAAAAAATGCTAACTTAAATCAAACTTTCCTCAACCAAATCAAAGACTCTGAGAGTAAAAGTGTAGAAAGAGAGCCTAAAAGAAATCTTTTATTGATCTTGAAATGATAGTTCATAATATATTTGGTATTTCTTTGTAAGTTTTACAGAAATTGTGAAAACTGTAAATTTTTCTTTGATGATTACTTTTAAGCTATTTAAAATGAACTTCAATTTGTCTTTTATCTCAAGTTGCTTATTTTAATAAAATAGTTTGTAAAATTCATCACCATCTAGCAATCTAGGATCTTAAAATAATCCATCACAAACATTGAAGAGGATTTCAAGCTGCCATTGTAGATCCAGAGGGGAGAGTGCTGAGGGTTAATGGGGAGAGAATATTGCTAATTTTGACTGCAACTTTAATAGGACAGATATGATCTGGTAGTTGGCAGCTCTTTTATTATTTACAAGGGAACCTTCTCCAATTTGACTTGCAATGCAGGTATATAGGCACATAGAACCTAGAATCCAAAGCATGGATTTCTTTGCAACTGTTATGAACCAAGGAGCTGGAATAATATTGCAGGTTGGGATCAGTGTGCAATTTCCTAAAAGTTCGAAGTTGATGGATTTCAGAGTTTTGGCATTGCAGATATTTACTGTTATTCCTTTTGGTTGCTTCTTTTGTCTGATTACAGCTGTTATATTCCATCCTTATTTGTAGGAGTTTGTTAGGGCCAGTCTATAAAATTGAGTTGTATGGATAGGAAGGGCATTATGGAATGAATGAAATTATATTGGCCCTGTTTGGTAACATAGTTATCTTATCAGCCAATTTTGACTTATTTGACCACTATTAGCTATTTGACTTAGTTAAACAATCAATATGAGTATTTGATTAATTAGCTTTTTGTAACAGTTTATTGCTCCAAAATGCTAAAATTCAAAAAGCTGTTCAAAACAGCTTTTTTGATCAGCTTTTTGAGAAAGTCATTTTGCATGTAATCAGCTAACAACTAATTTACCAAAACACTTTTCTACAATCAGCTAATGTTATCAACTAGTCAAACTCTAACCCAATCGGCTAACAGTTATTAGCTAATATCTATTTACCAAACACCCTCAATTATCTTCTTCACTCTTCTCTGCAATTCTGTTCTTCCCTTTCTTTCTTTCAGCAAATCTCAGTCCAATTCTCACCTATAATTAATAATTCTGTTTGAGCCCCTAGTTCATCACAGCAACCCATCTACTCATGTAGCTTACAGAAAAGGGCACCAAAAAGAGGATATGGCAACAAGAAGGTGGAAATAGTTAACAAGTATAAATGGGGAAAAAAACCATGACAGCAGGAAAGTCTGGCATGGAGATTTTTATGAAGGAAAATAATCCGTACCTGACATTTCCGAATTCCTGGAACTTTGATCCATGCGTGAAGGCAATAATGCTGCAGGAGAGGTAACAAACTCCCCTGCATCCTGACCTTTCACAAACCCTTCTAATAGGAAACCAATAGAATGATGAGGCAATTCAAAACTTTCCCCTCTTATGTATGTACTCATGGTGGATCTTTCTGCAACGAGAGCTCTTAAGTCCGGCATTCCCATGTTCTCAAAGACTTGAGGAAGCAAGACTTTGGCAAGAACAATCACACTTTCCTGCAAAAAGGAGACTACTTTAGTGATCCATTAATTCAGAATGAGATTATTATATACTATGACACTAATTTTGAGTTTAATAGCCCTTGAATTGAGTTTCCATCTGATATAGATCAAACCAAAATGACTATCTGGCCAAAGTGAAATAGATGGACTAAACGAAGAAGAGAAACAAAACCAAGCCAGGAGGTTTAAGCCAGCCCAAAAGCCTAGGGCCATGATACAATTACACTAAAGTTTCTATATTCAACACTCCAGCTGGAACAAATATATATTATAGGCTTGTAACTGCAAACAACACTCCACCCTCACTTGAAAGTTGAGAAATAGTTACAGCATAGTCAGAATCAAATGGCCTCTGAAAGTAAACATGGCAGTGTCAAAATTGGGAAATAGTCACAACATAGTTGGAGTAGGGAAGCCCAATTGGGAAATAGTCAGAACATGGTCGGAATCAAACAGCCTCCGAAAATAAACATGGCACTGTCAAAACTGAGCATTCTTGTGAAGTAAGCATGGCATGCTGGACTCAAATAATCTCAAGATATAAAGTATAAACACAAGAATGCCAAAGCAAAGCTTCTGTTTAAGGACAGTGGCATGTGAGGTACATGCAGAAGTTATTGTAGTTGCAAAACCTTCAAATAACTGAAAAAGACTGAAAATGAGATCTGAAGATTTTCACCAGAGGTCATCAGGTGGTTCACGCACCTGCACGAGGGAGACTCATTGGAGCATGTCAGCATGGTGGTGTGTGGGGCACACACTGGCCAAATTTTTAGGCATAGGTCTTTGGAAGAGAGGAATCTAACAGTGCTAACTGTGACACTATTGAATTATTGAAAAATGAGATTTGAGTGAAAACCCAAAGGGACACCTTGGCCAAGCAGCACTTGGGGGTGCTTCCTTGGCATGAGGCCAGTTTTTGCAAGCTAGCCAGAAGTGAAAGAAGGCCAAATCACCGAAACAGTAACACCGATTAAAAAAGAGAAATTTAGAGATTTTTTATTATTATATTAGGGTTTAATACGGTCTAATAGATGGTGAATAGTAAGGCAAGAGCTAATATACAAAATTCGAAAACCAGTGAAATTAGTGTATATTGATTATATTAGAAATATTGTAATGTATACATTTGATACGGATACACATGCTTATGTAGGAACACCATGGCCTGAACTTAGGGCTATGATAGGGTTACACTAAGTTTTCTATATTACAATGCTCTACCTCATGGCCTCATGTTTGAACATATAGATGTTCCCACCTTGTAGAGTTAACACAACCTACAGAGGCTAAATAGGGGATAGTGTGCAAATTGGCTACACGATAATAAGTCCTACAGAAACTGTGCAATACTGAGGTTCCTACATACATTCTTTTCATGCCTCTATTATGTTAATCGTTTTGTTGTTACTGTCCCGAATCCCCTTTTCTACGTGAATCTTCCAGGACCTATTTAATGAGATTTATCACCATCCATGATAAAACAATAGGAAACCCAAAGCAGTTAAAATAAGTTTATGCATATTTGGTAGTTAGTTGTGAACATATGTTCCAAGTATAATTGTCTAATTCCTTTTACTAGTTTCCTAATTAATCAGTTAATCTCTTGTACAAACCTAAGAAAACAGGAAATTATGTATGTCCTTCACCATATAAATTGAAGCTAACACACTATTGTTGCTGAAATAGCTAAAAACAACAATCAATACTGTACCTGCCAAAAGAAATCTTCTATTGCAGGATCTGATCTAAGCACAGAAAGTAACTTTTCAGTTTCAACAGAAAAACAGAGAACCACTGAATCAGTGATAATATCGCAGATGTATGGCTTTCCAACAAGAACTTCATACAATCCCAATGTACTTCCATGTGTAAATGTGGGATGCAGCAGTTGCTTATTGCTTGTAAGCTGACTTGTCCACTATCAAAAACAGATATTGTAAGTTATTAGATGTGTTGACTGTCAAAACTGTTCATCTTACAAAACATCTCATTACCTTCACTACTCCATTTGAAATAAGCCAAACACAAGTTGGCTTGTCTCCTTCTCTATAAAGTGTAGTACCACGTAACTTCATAATTTCTTTAGTAGAGCCAACTAGTGTCTCCCGCACTGTGGAAGGAAGAGCTCCTAGGAAAGGATTTGTACTTATCAAATCACGAACTTTTGGAATTTTTACTACAGGGGGATTCCTTAAGAGCTTCTTCAGGTCAGTCTGCATGAATTTCAAAGATAGCAATTAGGGAAAAAAACATACAGAATGAAATATCATAAAAGAGAAATTACCTGTACAGCATCATGAAGATGAATCATCTCCTTTTCTTCTAATAGACCAATCTCTTCAAGATTATGCACATAATGACTCAATTGATTCAAAACAGCATAAGTTGCTTGTCTGGTTTTGACAACACGGAGAACCTGAGCACATTTAAAATGCTTTAAGACTAAGAAAAAAAATCACAAAGCACATGTACAGAGAATCTGAACAGGCAAACCTTCTAAAAAGCTTGAAAAGCTAAAAAAAAATGATAAATAAAAATAAATAAATACAAATGTTACGTTGACAACATAAAATTGTGCTACATAGCATTTAAAACTAATACCGATTGCTAAGTTTAGAAAATGACTCGGTAGTCCAAGAATTCAGACAGTCAAATGGAATTAAATTTATAGCAAGATTCAAGGCTCATTAGATATTTTAAAATTTTCTTTGTCATGAGAATAAGTACCCATAATCCAACAAAAAACATATGCTGCAAGTTTCACTAACCTGAGGAAACGTGACACGCACTTCTTCAAGAAATTTCCTTGCTTCCTCTCCTTCTTCCTCACTTTCATTTATCACCACAGATGCAATTTCACTTTCTCCTGAAGTTAAAAGCCAATAAAATGAGCATGCACTTTTAAGGCAATATACTCTAAGAGACCACTCAAATGCTTCCCTTTGCACAGTTAAGCATCATCAGACTATATACCCTTGCATAAACTACTCTAAGAGACCACTTCTGTATTTTGAGAATCATCAGATTTAGTCTGCATTATGGTCTAAAATGGGCAAAGTTATTGGTCATGCACAGTGAGCCTGATAAAGACCGTAATAAGTGGATAGCGTACACACGAAAGAAGAAGGAAAGTCAGAACAAGGATGGTAACAATTAATCAATCAACCCCAATTCATGCAGCAGTTACAATCAAGGCATATTTCTAGGAAAATCTGCAATTATTGTTTAACATGATTATTGCTTAATTTCTACAATTAGACCTTGTAATAGAGTATAAATTCAGACCTCCTCCTAGGCAGTAAGGCATCGAATAAGCTCTGAAATAATAGTTCTAGCAGCTGGGCAAGATATATTCTTGCAGGAGGGAACCTTATGGTCCCTTGTTTTTCTGTTTTCTCCCTTATTTGAATTCTGAAATTCCAGATTCACTTTTTCTCTCCTTACCTTTCTGTTCTCGGCCCTTTACTCTAACAAGTTGGTCCAACCTGCCATGACACGAATGGATTCGAGAGTAGACACGTTGGAGAAGGGTCAAGACGATTTACGGGCAAACATGGCTGAACAATTCACTGAGGTTTGAAGCTCCATCACCAATCTGGAAAACTCCATTGCCACGTTAACTGAGTTGGTTACTCTCTCTCTCCAAAATAAAGGCCATACTGAATCCAATTCTATTTCCAAGGCTAGCAGACAAAGCGACACACCGATGCAACAATCAGGTACCACCACACAACCTCTCAACCCGATTACTACTGATGCAGACCAATTTCCTCCCAAAAGGATCGACATACCTAACTTTGAGGGTGCTGATCCTATTGGCTGGCTGGCTCATGCGGAGCAGTACTTTGCAATACAACGTAAAGGTTGCTACAGCCTTTGTGAGTATGGAAGGGGCAGCACTCCATTGGTTGAGATGGTTACAACAGCAAACACCGACATTATCTTGGGCCCAATTTAAGGTAGAACTCATGGACCAATTTGGCGGTGACCTAGCGGCTCCTCCTATTGAGCAACTGGCTGCCTTACATCAAGTTGGAATGGTGGACGAATTCGTGACTGAATTCATGGCTCGGGCAGCCCAAATCCCAAATCTTGCACCACATATACAGCTAGGTTTGTTCCTTAATGGTTTAAAGGAAGAGATCCGGGTGCGTCTCCGACCGAATGATGTTCTAGACTTGCGGACTGCCATGAAGGTTGCTCGTTCAGTCAAACGAGAGTTGGGGTACATTTATCGTGAAGAACGATCAACGACAGGGAACTCCGTTATTCAACGACGAAGTACTGGTATGGGTTGGGCTATATTCCTGGTCCAACACGTCATCCTCTTATGTCCACATCTCCAAATTACTTTGCAGTAGGTTCACAACCCAACAACACACAATTTATAAACAAAAGCACGCATTATTCTGCTTCTTCGCAGAGACCAGGAACGTTGGCCCCGACAAATCGCAACTCCGCAGCTTTATCAACCAGAGGTGCTCGGCAATACTCCCATCAGGAGTACTTAGACATGCGCGCTAAGGGGCTCTGTTTTCGCTGTAAACAGCCTTATAGCCCACTGCATGTCTGTCCTAACAAATCACTTCGAGCTTTGATTGTGGCAGAGGATGAGGATGAAGGTGGAACGGGCGCCGAAGATGCAATTGCTAATATTAGTGACGAACCTGATGCTGCCCAGTTTGAAATGCTTGACCTACCATTATCAGCTTTAGGAGGTATCAACAGGCCTAGGACGATGAAATTCAGCGGTCGGGTTGCAGACGTCGATGTGGTCGTCATGATTGATAGTGGTGCCAGCCACAATTTTATTTCTAGCCATTTGACTGGCATGTTCAAACATCCATTGGAATCTACACCAAAGTTTGGCGTTCGTTTGGGTGATGGTCGCCGAGCAGAATCGGAAGGAAAGTTTTCTCAATTACCTATCAATTTGGGGCCGATAACAATGCCAGTGGACTGCTTTGTTTTTCCCTTGGGTGGTGTGGATGTCATTCTGGGAGTTGCATGGCTAGAAAAGCTGGGAGACATCAAAGCAAACTGGGCTAGGATGACTATGGATTTTAAGGTAGACAACCAGGGTGTGCACCTGGTGGGAAACCCATCTTTGACTCGGTTGCAAATTCTTTTTAGCTCTTTGGGAAAACTGAACGAGGTGGAATTGAGTTGCCTACTATGGGAACTTACTGTTTCGCCTTCAACGGACAACCAAGTTCTGGATCTTACTGTTAGCCAAAATTCTCAATTACGCAAGTTTCTGGATCACCACTACCAAATCTTTGAGGAACCGCAGGGACTCCCTCCCTCGCGACCAAATGACCACAGAATTATTTTGACAGCAGGGTCTTCTCCTGTAAGCGTCAAGCCTTACCGTTATAGTCATCATCTAAAAGATGAGATTGAACGGCTGGTAGGAGAAATGTTGGTTGCTGGTATCATACAGCCTAGCTCCAGCCCATTTTCCAGTCCGGTGTTGTTGGTTAAGAATAAAGACAGAAGCTGGAGATTCTGTGTTGACTACCGGGAGCTTAATAAAGTCACTGTGGCTGATAAGTATCCCATCCCTGTCATTCATTAGATGTTAGATGAACTCCATGGTGCTCGGTACTTCTCAAAAATTGACCTCCATTCAGGCTATCACCAAATCCAAGTTGCACCGCAAGATGTTGCTAAAACAACTTTTCGCACGCACTCAGGCCACTATGAATTTTTGGTCATGCCTTTTGGCTTGACGAACGCACCAGCTACCTTTCAAGCCATCATGAACGACATATTCCGGCCTTATCTACGCCAGTTTGTTTTGGTCTTCTTCGACGATATACTGGTTTATAGCTTAACTTGGGATGACCACTTAAAACACTTGGCAATAGTGATGAGACTATTACATGATCACCAGCTCAAAGCAAATGTCAAGAAATGCCAATTTGGTCGAACTACAGTAGAATACTTGGGCCATATCGTCTCGCAATTCGGGGTAGCTATGGACCCCTCAAAGGTATCAAGCGTGCTTCGTTGGCCCCAACCACAATCTACCAAAGCAGTTCGTGGTTTCTTGGGTCTCACAGGCTATTATCGTAGATTTATTAAAGACTATGGTAAGATAGCCCAGCCTCTCACTGCTCTTTTAAAGAAGGATTCTGTCACCAAGTTTCAATGGACGGATGCAGCACAACTTGCATTTGATGCACTGAAATCAGCAGTGACAACAGCCCCAGTTTTGGTGCCACCGAATTTCTCACAGCCTTTTATCATCGAGTGTGATGCTTCCGGGACAGGGGTGGGAGCGGTTCTAATGCAAGAATCCCGTCCTATCGCGTATTTTAGCAAGGCTTTAGCTGAGAGAAGTATGGCTAAATCTGCATATGAGAAAGAGCTAATGGCACTGGTTTTAGCAATACAACATTGGAGGCCGTACCTAATGGGCAGAAAATTCATTGTTCGCACTGACCATCGAAGTCTTCGACACCTACTACAGCAACGTATAACCACCCCTTCACAACAGAATTGGATGGCCAAGTTAATGGGATACAATTTTGAAATCGCTTATAAGCCTGGAAGGACCAATAATGTCGTTGATGCTTTGTCAAGGAAAGGTGAAGCCGTGAAACTATCAGCTATTACCCTACCATTTTGGATGGATTGGGCTGAGTTAGAGACTGCAGTATCCCGTGACATCAGCTTGCAAGTTATTTGTGACCGCCTTCGAAGAGACCCGGTTAGTTACCCCGACTATCAGCTAGTCAATGGGCGTCTTTTTTACAAAGGGCGCATCGTTATTCCTGCCACGTCTCCGTGGATCCCAAAACTTTTAGAAGAATTCCATTCCACACCCATGGGAGGTCACTCTGGTGCGTATCGCACTTACCGCCGCATAGCAGATAGTGTGTATTGGAAAGGGATGATGAAACGGGTCCAACAATTTGTATCCGAGTGCCTTATCTGTCAAAAAAATAAGTATGACACTCTGGCCCCAGCAGGATTTCTCCATCCATTGCCAATTCTAGCAGCTGTTTGGGAAGATACTGCCATGGATTTCATCACGGGGCTCCCTCGTTCCAGCGGATTCGATTGCATATGGGTGGTCATAGACCGCTTCACTAAATATGCCCATTTTGTGGGACTCCGACACCCATACACCGCAAAATCTCTTGCTGCAATATTCGCAAAGGAGATCGTTCGTCTACATGGAGTTCCGAGGTCAATTGTGTCTGACCGTGACCCGATATTTTTGAGCAATTTTTGGAAAGAATTATTTGCAAAGTGGGATACCAAGCTTCGAATGAGTAACTCGTACCATCCTCAGACGGACGGGCAGATCGAAGTACTCAACAAATGTCTTGAGCAGTATTTGCGATGTTTTACATCAGAACAACCCACACAATGGGGCCGATATCTACACTGGGCTGAATATTGGTATAACACCTCCTTTCATGGAGCTGCAGGTGTCACCCTTTTTCAATGTGTATGGTCGACCTCCTCCCACCTTGGCGCAATATTTGCCTGGGGAATTCAAAGTGGCAGCAGTGGCCGAGGAACATTGTAATCGAAATGAAATACTCCGCCAACTCCGCTACAATTTGGACCGAGCACAACAACAGATGGCCAAGGTAGCCAATGCCAAACGATGGAATTTTCAGTTTGTTGAAGGTGATAAGGTCTTACTTAAGCTTCGTCCACATCGCCAATCAACAGTCCAGCGGCGTGTCAATCAAAAGTTAGCCCCGCGATATTTTGGTCCCTTCACTATTGTGCGAAAGTTAAGTGCAGTATCATACAAGCTTGCACTGCCTGCTTCAGCTAAGGTACACCCTATTTTTCATGTGTCCCAACTTCGTCGTGTCACAGGCAAACATCCAGCTATTGCCAAGCTTCCCGAGGATATGTCAGTGGGTGAACAAGGTTACACTCCCCAAGATATTCTGGCTACCCGCGAGCACAGTGGGAACACCCAGGTTCTGGTGCAATGGGAGGGCCAGCCAAAGGATGATGCTACTTGGATTGATGTTGCTGATTTTCGTGGCCAATTTCCAGACTCCAACCTTGTGGACAAGGTTGTTCCGTTAGCGGGCAGCATTGATAAAGACCGTAATAAGTGGATAGTGTACACACGAAAGAAGAAGGAAAGTCAGAACAAGGATGGTAACAATAATCAATCAACCCCAATTCATGCAGCAGTTACAATCGAGGCATATTTCTAGGAAAATCTGCAATTATTGTTTAACATGATTATTGCTTAATTTCTACAATTAGACCTTGTAATAGAGTATAAATTCAGACCTCCTCCTAGGCAGTAAGGCATTGAATAAGCTCTGAAATAATAGCTCTAGCAGCTGGGCAAGATATCATCTTGCAGGAGGGAACCTTATGGTCCCTTGTTTTTCTGTTTTCTCCCTTATTTGAATTCTGAAATTCCAGATTCACTTTTTCTCTCCTTACCTTGCTGTTCTCGGCCCTTTAGTCTAACAGAGCCTCCAAGAAGGAAAATGATGTTTCCTCTACTCAAATTAGGAGTTTCCTTAACAAGAGGAGTCTTGCACAAAATTATATTTTATATTTAGAGTTCTCTTATTATATTTTCAAATTTATGAATATTAGAATTTTAATAATTAGCTAGTTCTAGATTTCCTAACTCATGTATGTCCTTAACCTATAAATACCCTTAACCATTGTATTTAATGGGAACCTTTTGATGATTAATAATATTTAAGACTCTTGTATTTCTCTCTTTGAGAGTTATCATGAGTTTCTAGACCACCTCTACTACTAATACTCTCACCACCATTATTTTCTTGTGACTAGAGGGCTTTTTCCTCAACACTATTCCCCTGCGACAGAAAAACATGTCTCTCTGACATATCATCACCATTTGTGTTCCTTGATGCATTTTGGCCTTTGGACCATGGAAAAGACTTGATCTAACATTTCCCAAGTAACTGAGATCTAAGAATATCATATTCTTTATCTAAACCTGAATCCAACTAAACACAAGCAATTGGTCACACTGTTTTTTCACCATTTCCACATGATTCGCAATCGGCATAGCAACACACGACACTTCTCTCACATTTTTTAAGTCATAATAATAGTTGTTGATGTCTTGTCCTTTTTTAGAGGGACAATAAACATCTTGAGAAAATTGATACAACTTTCTCATATTGTTTGCCACTCTAAACCACTTATCCACTAACTCTCATACATCTTTAACAGTCTTACAATGTTGTATAGATAATATCATCTTCCTATCAACAACATGTCCAACAGAACCTAATGAGGCTCAAGAGTGGAAAAATGATGATAAAGTTTCATGCCGAAGTTCTAACATTTTGTGGGGGGTTAGATCTCGTAACTGGGGGTATGTGGTTGACCAATATTGCACACCATCATTTAGCTATTGCAATTCTTTTCCTATATAGGACCAACTGGAGCATTGGTCATTGACTAAAAGAAATTTTAGAGACTCATAAGGGTCCATTCAATACAAAAGTCGTTTAACAAAAGAGATTCTCATAGCCCTACAATTCACATTTCATTAGTTGAGGTCTATAAAATTTCCTTTCATAGTTGTAGAAGCAATTTTGTTGTTGGAATCCACCTTTTTATCTTAAATGAAAGAAAGATCATGGGCACCTATTTATACAAGCTAGTAGTAGGATTAACCAAGCTCTCAAACAGTCATTTCAAATTCAAAATGAGTAGCTGAGAGGAGTGAGAGCTATTCTCTCAACCTCCCTCAATATCCTCTAACACATAAATTAGAACCCCATGGAAACTAATACGCTTGCTAGATTCTTGTTCGTGTGTTTTCTAGGTGGATTATTGGAAACCTACTACTGGTGTCATTGGGACAAGTTCTCACACCTTTGTTAGTTTCTTCTAGTTCCACCCTAGAGGTATGCATCATGCTAGGAGCATGTTAAGGATAAATATAAATGTAAATAAATAACCCGGGGTGGTAGCTCAAGTGGCAAATAAGCTCTCTTTGTAGGGGAGAATTCTGGGATAACCCGGGTTGGATTCCCACAAGTGACGATTCCTCCATAGCCTCCCAAAGCAAACGGGAATTAGTTGGGTAGACCTGGACTGTTAAACGGACAGAGAAAGACCCGGACCACCTCATGGTTTACACCAAAAAATTAAAAGTAAATAAATATGTATCATAGCTAACAATTTAAACTTTTATTTGAGATGAACTTATGAAATGCATACTTCAATATAGACTAAGTATAACTAGTTAAAATAGTAATGTTACAAAAAGAATGGTTTCTAAATGTTCTACTCCTAATAGAAAAGAGAAAAGCTCCTGTCTTACTTGCATTTGTGGAGAACCTTTCATCTTCTTTACTTAACTAGGTTGCTTGAGCCATAGCTCCATAAAATGGAAAGGTTATCAGAATAAGCAAACTGCTTAGAACAATCTTTTTGTTAGTGATGAACAGACAGATGCAGGGAAACATCATCAGCTTTCTAGCATCTATTGCCATGTATCGAAAGAATGACCAAAACAAATTATATATAACCAGCAGATTAATTAAAACTAATTTCGCTTGAATTTCAAAATTTCTGCACCAAAAGTATGTTTCCAGATATGGTTGTCCATTTTTTTTTATCAATCTATATGTAGTGTGTATGTTTATATCTGAACATGTGATGTGCAATCAATGCACACACAAGCCTTCAAACAGTGTAGATAATTTCCACATTCTTAATAGAGTTAAAGAAGGATAAATTAAATAAAGCCCAATCTAAAGAAAGGCCATATTAGTTTCGTCATCCAACTTTCATCAACATTATCAAGAACCATGTCATTTTCAACCAGGGGAACTAGCTTCCACCCTAGCAAAAATAAAATAAAATAGTTGGGTCTATTGTTGACTTCAATGAAACAATCAGTATTTTGCAGGGAAAGTAAAGATAATAAATATTTTTGTGTACTCAATATAAAAAAACTCACCAATAAAGTCATTTAGCTGTTGGCGTGCAATCCTATGGGCCCGGAGAAAGGCGGCACAAATGTAGCACGCAGATTCTAATCTCTCAACAGTGAAGTACATGATAAGCTTTTGAGGGACAATGCTTGTTTGAAGAAACTTGTAATAATTTGGAATATTCACATAAGCTCTTAGGCCTTTCCAATCACACAAAGCCACATGAGGTACCAAGTCAATTGCTTCCTCAACAGATTGCATTAGAATGTTTGCAGTGTTTTGTGTTATCCTTCCCTCATTGAGCATTCCCCAGTAAGCAGCTTGAACACCTAGCAAAGAAAGTCTCTCCCAGTTATAGTAACTGAAATGTAGATAATATAACTATATTATTCGGCATAGCTTTTGTTGGAATACAAAGTATAAACTATAAAGTATTACTCTAAATAAAAAGGAATTCAAAAGATAACTCACAATAATTTTATTCTTGCATGCACAAAGATTTCAAATTAAATGAGGTATTTATAATAGAAAATAATGAGTAATCTTCTACCCCATGAACTATACATATTAAGACTTCAAATTGTAAAACAAACTCACCCGACACCCGCTAACACAAAAATTATTGCCCACTAATAGAAAACAAATGATGGTGGGCCAACGAATTCCTTCAGGGTTCATTTAGGCGAGCACTCCAATTGGAGTGGTAAGAGTAGTGGTTGTGAGATTGAAATGGAAGTTGTCGGATCATAGGGGCAGTGGGAGTGCTTCTATGAATTATTACTTTGATTCTGCAATAGTACTGTGCAATGAAGGAAAAGGAACCCAATCTTGACTTAGGTTTATTTGAATATGTTGGAAAACAACATGTCTCTTCTATAAAGAGTCATGTCTTCTCAAATAGGTTCCTTAGATTGTATATATATATATATATATATATATATATATATATATATATATATATATATATATATATATATATATATATATATATATATATATATATATATATATATATATATATATATATATATATTCTTCTGTACATTATTGTTATCATCAATCAAAAATACATTTCTCAAGTATATTTGTTTACATGGTATCAGACTAGGTTCCTTTGTTTTTATACCCTAAAATAAAACTCCACTTTTTGCCGGTCTATACGCGACTGCCCATCTCGGTTCGACGCACTTCTGGCTGTTGTTTGAAAAAACTACCACAACAGCCTTACTCGGAACAACGTCGCGACCCGTCACCGAAATTTCCACCACCACCACCTGCCACCTCACGCGCCTCCATGCACCACCGCATTGCCCTTCGTAAAGGTATACGTTATTGTCGACACCCAATTTCCTCTTTTGTGTCTTATAATCATTTGTCAGTGTCATCTCGCACCTTTATATCTCGTTTCGATTCTGTGTCAGTTCCAAACACTTTGAGTCAGGCTATAGCCTCATGATGGGGGGAGACATGCAATGAGGGAGGAGATGACTGCTCTTGAGGACAATCAGACTTGGGATTTGGTACCCCTCCTGCAATTGGTTGCAAGTGGGTTTATGTTGTGAAAATGAACCCTGATGGGTCGGTGGCTAGACTTAAAGCTTGTCTAGTAGCAAAAGGGATATGCACAAGCGTATAGTGTCGATTATACAGAAACTTTCTCCCCTGTAGCTAAGTTAGCTTCAGTTCGTATCTTTATTTCCTTAGCTATTTCTAATCATTGGCCTTTAGATGTCAAAAATGCGTTTTTGCATGGTGATTGGTTGAGGAGGTTTACATGGAGCAACCCCCTGGGTTTGTTGCTCAGGGGGAGTCTGAAAAGGTGTGTGACTGGAGAAGCCGTTATATGGCTTAAAACAATCTCCAAGGGCTTGGTTTGGGAGGTTTAGTAGTGTGATTATTGAGTTTGGTATGCAAATGAGTGTGTGTGATCATACTGTCTTTTTATGTTGATGATAGTGATCACAGGTAGTGATGCAGGAGGGATTGAAGTGCTCAAATCTTTTCTCAAGGAAAAGTTTCACACGAAAGATTTGGGAGTGTTGAAGTATTTTCTGGGGATCGAAGCTGCTCGTTCACGGAAAGGAATATTTCTTTCCCAGATGAAGTATGTGCAAGATTTGCTTGATGATACTGGGTTGTTGGGATCAAAACCATGTGAAACACCTATGGATCAAGGTGTTAGACTTGTTACTGGTGAGGGGGAGGCCCTTGATTCTCTCGAGAGATATAGGAGGTTAGTGCGGAAATTGAACTATCTCACCATTACACGTCCGGATATTGCTTTTACGGTAAGTGTGGTGAGTCAATTCATGCAAGCACCTACGCTATCCCACTGGGAGGCTGTTAATAATAAAACTCTCTATATATTTCTTACTTCTCTATTTTAACTACACAACCACACTGCCATATATATACATGCTAGGCTACTGTTATCATGCCTCTTCATATCCCTATGACTCTTCATATCCCCATGACTCTTCATATACCTATGACTCTTCATATCTAACACTCCCCCTCAAGTTGGAGCGTAGAATCATGCCCAACTTGTTACATACATATTACATGAGCCATAGGACTTCACATCTAAAGTCATAACCTTCGAGACCAACACTCATGTCTGGAACCACTTGAACAATCTTCAAACCACGCTGTGCCAAATTAGTCCACAACTCAACTTGTTACACCAACAAAGCTTCCACGAAGCCAAAATCAGGCCAAACACCACAGCGCACCTGCCACTCACACCCCACACCGTTATCAACACTGCCTAACAGCACAGTGCTCCTGCCTCTCGCACCACAAACCAATATTAGCGCTGCCCAACATCAGTGTTTTCCTGTTTTCTGGTGCACACAAATTGGTTCATCCCGAACCAATTCTTCTTCAACCATCGGCCTCCCATAACTGCCGTGGCATATGCCAGGTCCGCATCCCTCCTGACATCCGTGCTGCCCATCACTGCAACACCCCGGACTGATACACATTGAACAAGCTACAATGACTCAACTCATACCAAAGTATGAGACTAATCCTATGACCCATAGCCCAAAGAACATATAAACTAAACTTAATAATAAGCCCACAAAATAAAGCAAACGAGGCAAATAACCTAAAAGCATACTGGCCAATTATTCTCTTATCAGCTTCATCCTTCATCCTCAACATTTCAACATCAACAACACCGTCACTTCACCATCCACAACCCCAGCCGCCGCCGGCCATCACCAACCACTGCCGGGAAGCCTCGCTGGCCACCTTTGCTCGTCGCCGCTATCTTTGCTGTTGGTCACCGCTGGTTGCCGCTGCTGGTGGTACTGCAGCATCGCCAACCACAGCTTCTGCTGCTGGAGCTGTTCTGCTGCGTCTAAAGTGAAAGAGAGAGAGACGAAGTCGTGAAAGTTGATGAAGACAAGCACCAATGACACCATGATGGAACGGGCTCATCAAGACGAGACGAGGGAGACAAATTTCTGCCAGAAAGGTTACCGGGAAAGGCCTCACGCGCCTCCACGCGCCGGCGCGTGGTCACCGGAGCTCCGGTCAGCGGCGGCGCGTGGAGGCTCTGTTGACTGCTCTGCTTCCTCCGGTGGCGTCGCCTCCTTGCGCCGACCAATGCCCACCGGGCTCTGATACCATGTTAATAATAAAACTCTCTATATATTTCTTACTTCTCTATTTTAACTACACAACCACATTGCCATATATATACATGCTAGGCTACTGTTATCATGCCTCTTCATATCCCTATGACTCTTCATATCCCCATGACTCTTCATATACCTATGACTCTTCATATACCTATGACTCTTCATATCTAACAGAGGCGACAGTTCGAATTGTTAAGTATCTCAAGAATGAGCCCGGGAAAGGTATTTTATATGCTGATCCTGGACATATTAGTGTTGAGGCATTTTCTGATGTTGACTGGGCAGGCTCGTTGAGTGACAGGAGGTCTACGACGAGGTATTGTGTGTTCGTAGGAGGTAATTTGGTTTCTTGGAGAAGCAAGAAACAAACTGTTGTGGCTTAGTCCAGTGTAGAATCCGAGTATAGGGTGATGGCTCATGTGGCATGTGAGATAACTTGGGTGCACAATATTTTGAAGGAGGTTGGTGTGGAGGTGGTGAAGCCCATACGTCTATGGTGTGATAATCAAGCGGCTATACACATTTCGAATAATCCGGTGTTTCATGAGCGGACTAAGCATATTGAGGCAGATTGTCATTTTATGCGTGAAAAGGTTCAACAAGGATTACTTTCTATGGCTCATGTTCGCAGTGGCAATCAACAAGGCCGGATTTTGGGCTATGCAAGCTGGGCTACAGCACAGGGTCCCAAATTTTAGAAGGCCCCATATTTTAGAGGCCCAATATTTAATTTTTACCTAGTTAGTTTAGAAATAAAAACTAAAATTTTCAATTAAACCTAAAAGGCTTTATGAAGGAATGGTAAGAATGTGTGTTTATTATATTTCAACTTGGAGGTCAGAGGTTTGAAACTTGGAGGTTAGAGTTTGTGCACACTATTATTATTATTATATTATTGTTGTTGTTGTTATAATTGTACTTTATTTCATAATGTCTTTTGGCTTTTTCTTTGCGCACAATAACATTTTACCACATTATCATTATTATTATTATTATTATTATTATTATTATTATTATTAGAAAAATAACGATATTGGTTTTAAAGATTGTTATTTTGGTAGGGACCCATTTATTTACTTGAACAGGGCCACAAAAATCTAAAAACCGACCCTGGCGATCAACTAGCTGATTTGTTTACTAAAGGGCTTAGCAGGGACAGAGTTGAATATATTTGTAACACGCTGGGCATGATCAATATCTATGCTCCAGCTTGAGGGATAGTGTTAGAATAATTTGGAGTTAGTTAGACTATTGGGGTTTGTTAGAGGTTCTAGTGCATTAGTTTGTGGCTATCTAGCCTTCCTTGTACCTATATATTGTACAGTCTCAGACTTCAGTAAATCATCAGAAATCAGTAAGTTAAACAGTAAGCTTCTCCCTCAAATATTAACATAAAGTATTTATTGGAGGGGTATATTTCTCTCACAAAAAACAGAATGTGCTAGATTTGGTTAAGGATATTGGATTGCTTGACTCAAAACATTATGAAACTCCTATACATCGGTGAAACAGAGCCATTTGAGGATCCAAAATGATACAAAAAACTGATCAGGAAGCTCAACTACCTCACTATCACTTGGCTGACATTGCTTTTCATGTGAGGTAAGTCAATTTATGGAGGCTCTTATGGTGGTTGCATGGGAAGCAGCAATTTGGATTGTCAAATTTGTAAAGAATACATCAGGAAAAGGGACCATGTATGCTAATCATGGACATAAAGGTGTTTAAGTGTTATTTATATAAATTGAGCCAGTTCACTAAGTGATAAAAGATCTATTATAGGATATTGTGTGTATGTGGACACTTAGCTCCAAAGTGCTGGGGTGAATTGTCATTTCATACGAGAAACGATTCAGTTGGAATTGATTTCTACATTATAAATACCAACTGGAGACTAACAGAAATAGGACTGACTATATTTGTAACAAGTTAGCATGACCAATATATATACGACATGAGAAGTGTTGAATGTATCCTAACTCCAGTAGAATTCAGTTATTGGCCAGTACCACCAATACCTTTATGAGTTTGTGTGTGTGTGCACGCGTAAGGTATTATAGATATATTTTGATACATCAATAAAGTTTTTTTGGTACCACAATTTATGTGGTGTACTTTCCTTTTTGGATATTTGAACTGTTTAATCCAACTTATATAACAGTACATCAATACAATTAAAAATAACAAGAAACAAAAGAAACAATTTAGATCCATTTAGTTCAATTTTCTATCTTTCTGATTACTTTTCCCACGGTTTTCTAAGTTTTCAGTTTCCATTAAAAAACAAAAAACTTATTCATCAGTTCATCAACATTTTTTTTTTTGGGTTCCTGGTTCCACCTTGCTGCACCTAGATCCTGGTTCCCCAGTTACAGACCCCACTTGGTTCCTACCTGGTTCCAAGTTCACTTAGTCCTTCCTGGACCTTTTTTCAACAAATTATTCCGACCCATGCATGGGATGAGAATCGATCCTGAGACCTTTCATTTGAAAATCCAACCCGGGTGCCATCAAACCACAAGGGAGATAGCAATTCATCAACATTTATTTTCCAAGAAAATACAAAGCTATTTGAAATCCAATTGTTTTTCATTTTAACATACAAATGTTAATGATAAATGACAATAATAGGTCAGGTTGGTGAAATCTAAATTTTATTTCGAATATTCAAAATTTTAAATGAAAATGAAGACAAGTTCTTACCATTCAAGAAGCGAATCCGAATGTCTTTCAAATTCATATGATGCAGGGTATCATCATTTCCAGATGAAGAATGAGGATGCACTCTTTCACCCTCTAAATCATTTAGGCATGTAATATATCTTTTAACAGTAGGCCAGTCAGCAGGTCCTAGTTCCTCATCATCTCCAAGATCACCAAATGCCTCCAAAGCTTTATTCAGCATCTCATACTTTGTGTAATTTAATATGCGCCTCTTTACCAATAAAACATAAAAAAGTACACGATAAATATATGACAACCATGATGCACTGCAGACAACTAAACTAATTAATGCATCCAAATGTTGTCTTTCTACAACATAAAATAGATATTATGGCATATCAAGTTCCATACGTAATCCAAAATGAATCGAAGTAAATTAAAAGTCAATAAACAACTTAAAATATTTTCCTAATACTTTTAATAAGAGGCAAAAATATAGCAATAAAGACCATTTAGCAATTTAGTTGTCACACATGTGAAATCAAAATGGAATGAAAATGTTTGTTGACACCAATAGCACCTAGGCATATTGTTGATATCTCTGACATTGTGTTGTCCGAGACTTGCTCTTGAGCACCATTAATCACATATATATTATATAGGTAAGTATTCCTTGGCCAATGCCCTTGCTAACCAAAGCATCTCTTGCCAAGGTACTCAGATGTTTTTCCATTCCCAAAAACCTTATAACACAGATGAATAGATGATCATCCACAAACTCAAGTAATAATAAAAATAACTGCAAACCTACCTTTGCTGTAGATAGCCTATCCATGCTTAAAATGCGTAAAATGAACTGTGTTGTTGATCCATTGATAATCAATGTCAAGAATACAATTCCACCAGTGAAGAAAACAAACTGCATGTTGAGTCTGTTTTAGTATAAGTAGCAAACTAGCAACCAGTAAACAGAATTAAGTGCAAGTAACATTTTCTCTATATAACTAATTTGGGGTTCAGGACATAGCTTGGTTTTAAGTTAAGTCCATCATGGATTACAACTTGGGTTTAATTCCATTGTGTGCATCCCCACTTGACGTACTGAAAAGAAAAAATCTAACTGATTTCATTTTCTATTAATTCATGATGAGTTTTGCTTTACATACCAGAATTCCTGTCTCTGGATTAATATAAGATGAGTCATCACTAGAACGCTGAAATAACACAAAGGACATAATATAAGAAAATAAGTAAACATAGAGAATCAGGTTATAATGTCAGATGAAAATATATAGCAAATAAATTATTTCTTATATGTAAATTGCCATATCAAAATTCCTAGACCTCTAGAGAAAGTAGAATCAAAAAAAAAAGAAAGACTGGTGGTAGATGCATATGGGACACCCATCATGGTGATACATAAGGCATAGTCATCTACTCATCTGTACAGCTGTACTCCCTTGTGGTCATGTTACTATTATTATAAATAGGGAAAAGTGTTAAATTGGCCCCTAAATCAAGTGGATAGTGCAATTGGGTCCCTTAAGTAAAAAAAGCTCCATTCAAGTCCCCTAAACCGGTAAAATTATTCAATTAAACCCAAATTGACTTGTTTATCACGTTAAATCTATGCGGTGTTGACACGTGTCCTTTTTATTTTATTTTTTAAAATAAATGTTTTTTATTTATTAAAAATTAAAAATATTATTTATTATAAAAAAACACCGGCTGTTTTTATTTATTTATTTATTTATTTATTTATAATAAATAATATTTTAATTTTTAATCAATAAAAAACAATTGTTTTAAAAAATAAAATAAAAATGACACGTGTCAATACCGCATAGATTTAACCTGATAAACAAGTTAATTTAGACTTAATTGAACAATTTTACCGGTTTAGGGGACTTGAATTGAGCTTTTTTTACTTAGGAGACCTAATTGCACTATCCACTTGACTTGGCCAATTTGACACTTTTCCCTTATAAATAGATGGTAGTTTATCATTCTTCTCCACCTAGGTATCACTTTGCCAGTTTTTCCAGCAGACAAGCTCCCAAAAGGAAATGTAAGACCTACTCTTCCACCTAGAGTTTTACTCTGTATAGCTGTCTCCTTCCAACAGAAAACTTCCACTTCCACCACTTCTTTTGTGTCTTTACTCAATTAATTTTCAACCTATCCAACCGACCAGCCTAAAAAAAAAAAAAAAGGCCTCCTCTTCTATTAAGTGATTTCTCCAGCTGTCAAGCAATATAATTTTTAAAAAGAAAAGGCATCAGAAGTTGCAGCTTGGTACTACAAATTATAGTATGACTTGCACTTTGTTAAATATGAAAGTATGGGCTCATAAATTGAACATGGGTTCTGTATAGGGTGCTATATGAAAAGTACTCTTCTTTCAGTATGCCGATGTAAAACTGTATTCCAATCTGTAGGAACCTTCATTATGTACAAACGTTCAGAGAGACAAGCACATCATTTTTCTACTGAATAGAATGCGATACTAAGTACTAGGGATGGATGAGTAATGTGTTCACCAAATTAGGCTAATTAACATTGAATCACATAATGCTTGTGCCCATACCACTGTTTCTTTGTTAGTGGCTATCATGCAACTCTCAAACTAAGACAACAAAGTCACACAGGTATCTCTGGCTTGGGAAAAATTACAACAGAAAGTGGCAATAACCAGATCAGCTAAAAAGAAAACTCTTTAGAGAAGCCATGTTATAAAAGTTAAATAAAAAGCAAAGTATGGATAAGATCAAACAAAGAGCATAGTTTGTAAGAAAGTTCAAAATAGAGACAAAACGCCTAACTTGCCTTGACAGAGAGTGAAAGAGATAACGCTACAGCCCCTCGTAGACCAGACCATACAAGAATAGTAGCTTCCTTCCAATCTAGACCATAGCCAAAGCACCGTAAAAGTGGAAATAATGCTCCAACAACAACAATACGGGATACTTGAACAAGAACATAGAGGAGAATGAGGTAACCCCATGAATATTCTGAAAAACATCTCAATCGAATCAGAAGAACATGAGAAAAGAATCATTATATGGATACGAAGATATTTTGGATAACACTAACTGCAAATAAATATACATTAGCATACGACATTAAGTGAAGAATAATCAAATACAATGCCATGCATCAAAAAGACATTAAACTGTAAACAGTATCCATTGATTTTTAGTGTTGTTTACTGAGAAAGAATGTGTATGTACTCAATGAAAAAGGTATACGCATGTCACTTGCATATATACATACAAGAGGGGTAATACTAGGATAAGTCATAAATGAACAACAGAAGAAGCTAATGGTTTCCGAAAAAGAATCTAATCAATTAAGCCACATTATAATATCATACTTAGGAATTTAATTTTAGCTGTAAAAAGCTATCCAAGATGAAATAATGACATAAGGGGGGGCTACATTATAGATTACCAAGATCATTGGAGATCTCTTAGTTCTACACCTGAAAACTACTGCTACTCTTGCACTAAAAGGGGTGTTAGAAATGAATAGTCATGGGAGATGGATAGGCATAGACATAAATAGACATAGGAGGTGAAGAGGCTGTAAAACTGCCCCCACTTGTGTATATATAGATCTATGTTGCAGCAGTGAAGCACACACAGAAAATAAGAGAAACACATTCTTTGAAATCCTTTCTTTCTAGCAACATGGTATCAAAGCCGGTGAGAGTGAGGTAGTGGGCTGTGCTCGGAACAGGGAGGCGACGCCGGAGCTCGAGCCGCGCCGCCATCGGAGACTCCACGCGCCACCACCGTGCAGCTGCTCCAACGCCACGCACCGGCGTGTGAGTGGTTTTCCGGCCACCTTCTTCGACGGCGACTACTCCAGGGGGGCTCGCCGTGAGGAGTAGGTTCTGCCCAGGTATGTTTTGTGGAGTTTTGGGTTGTTGATGTTCTGCACTTAGGGTTTGCAATTATCTCCTGGGTTGAACGTAAGAATGGCAGCCATGGCAGAAGAAAGTAACGGGAATATTACTGTTGTATCACAAGGAAATTATACTAACGAAGGGTATAATAGTCGAGGTGGAGGTGGTCATCATCGAGGATGTGGTGGAAGAGGTCGTGCAACCTTTGTCCAAATAGGTAATCATGTTGCATGTGTGTCTTCTTCGTCTACACAGTGGGTCATTGACTCCGGAGCTAGTGACCATATGACAGGTAATTCTAAGGTTTTCTCCACATATTCCCCATCTAACCCGAGGGCTATGGTTACTCTAGCAGATGGGTCATCTGTTCCAGTTTTGGGTAGAGGTAGTGCTGTTGCAACCTCATCATTACCCGTCATCTATATTATATCTTCCAAAGTTTCCCTTTAATTTGCTTTCTGTTAGCCAAATCACACGGTCTTTGAATTATTCTGTCACCTTTTTCCCGGGTTATTGTTTATTTCAGGATCTTTTGACGAAGAAGATTATTGGTAAGGGGAAGGAAGTCGGAGGACTATATGTATTGGAACAGTCCATATCTCTGTCTAAGGCCATGTTGAGTGATATCTCTCCTTTCCAACTACATTGTCGGTATGGTCACCCATCATTGTCAGTCCTAAAGAAACTCTTTCCTAGTTTAGAATCGCTATCTACTTTGCAGTGTGAGTCATGTGAGTTTGCTAAACATTGTCAGGTTTCCTATCCTCCTCGTGTCAATGAAAGAGTACGATCTATATTTGAACTTGTTCATTCCGATGTCTGGGGTCCTTGTCATGTCACAGGGAAGAATGGGTTTAGATATTTCGTAACATTTGTGGACGATTTCTCTAGATGTACATGGTTATATCTTATGAAATCTAGAGATGAGTTGTTTACAATTTTTTGTAATTTTTGTGCTGAGATCAAAACCCAGTTTAATACAACTATTAAGTGTGTGCGGAGTGACAATGCACAAGAGTATTTCTCTAAACCTTTGTCAATTATATGGGCCAACATGGGATAGTTCATCAGTCCTTGTGTGCCTATACCCCTCAGCAGAATGGAGTGGCAGAAAGAAAAAACCGTCATTTGTTAGAAGTAGCTCGGGCAATTTTGTTTCAAATGAAAGTGTCTAAGGTCTTTTGGTCTGATTCTGTTCATACTGCGTGTTTCCTAATCAATCGGATGCCTTCGTCAGTCCTTAAAGGTCAAATTCCTTATTCTTTGGTGTATCCGACTGAACCCCTTTTTCATCTCCCACCAAAAATATTTGGATGTACTTGTTTTGTCCAGGATATTCGTCCTCAACGCAGAAAACTTGATCCAAAATCACTTAAATGTATATTCCTGGGGTACTCGCATACTCAGAAGGGTTATAGATGTTATTCACCTGACTTGGGGCGGTATTTAGTGTCAGCTGATGTTACCTTCTTTGAAAACATGGTGTTCTCGAGGGATGTTGGGTCGTCTGGGTATGGGTCTACTCTAGATAATGAATTTCTTACATATACCATTACCATACCTGTCGAGTCTGTTTCTAGACCTTCCATTACACAGGTTTATACTCGGCGGTCGAGAAATGAAGTGGCACCGCTCGAACCACAAGTGAATACTTCTTCCTTACCAGAATCTTCGTCAAATGATCTGGATCTTCCCATTGCCCTTCGTAAAGGTAAACGCCGTTGTCAAAACCCTATTTCCTCTTTTGTGCCTTATGATCATTTGCCATTGTCATCTTGCACCTTCGTATCACGTTTAGATTCTGTGTCAGTTCCAAACACTTTGAGTCAAGCCATAGCTCATGATGGGTGGAGACAAGCAATGGAGGAAGAGATGGCTGCTCTTGAGGACAATCATACTCCCGGCCGGTAAGACTGCAGTTGATTGCAAGTGGGTTTATGTTGTGAAAATGAACCCTGATGGGTCTGTGGCTAGACTTAAAGCTCGTCTAGTGGCAAAGAGGTATACACAGACTTATGGTGCTGATTATATAGAAACTTTCTCCCCTGTAGCTAAGATAGCTTCAATTCGTATCTTTATTTCCTTAGTTGCGTCTAATCATTGGCCTCTATATTAGCTAGATGTCAAAAATGCCTTTATGCATGGTGATTTGGTTGAGGAAGTCTACATGGAGCAACCTCCTGGGTTTGTTGCTCAGGGAGAGTCTGGGAGAGTGTGTAAATTGAAGAAGTCTCTATATGGCCTGAAGCAATCTCCACGAGCTTGGTTTGGGAGGTTTAGTAGTGTGATTATTGGGTTTGGTATGCAGAGGAGTATGTGTGATCATACTGTCTTTTTCAAGCATACTAATGATGGGTGCATTCTCTTGGTTGTTTATGTTGATGATATAATAATCACAGGTAGTGATGCAGCAGGGATTGAAGCTCTTAAATCTTTCCTCAAAGAAAAGTTTCACACGAAAGATTTGGAAGTGTTGAAGTATTTTCTAGGGATTGAAGTTGCTCACTCTCGGAAAGGAATATTTCTTTCTCAAAGGAAATATGTGCTAGATTTGCTTGATGATACTGGGATGTTGGGATCAAAACCATGCGAGACCCCTATGGAACAGGGTGTTAGACTTGTGGCTGGTGAAGGGGAGGCCTTTGACTCTCCAGAGAGATATAGGAAGTTGGTGGGAAAGTTGAACTATCTCACCATTACGCGTCCGGATATTGCTTTTCCAGTTAGTGTGGTAAGTCAGTTCATGCAAGCACCTATGCGAACTCATTGGGAGGGAGCAGTTGGAATTGTAAAGTATCTCAAGAATGCGCCCGGTAAAGGCATTCTATATGCTGATCATGGACATATGAGAGTTGAGGCATTTTCAGATGCTGATTGGGCAGGTTCATTGAGCGACAGGAGGTCTACAACAGGGTATTGTGTGTTCATAGGAGGTAATTTGGTTTCTTGGAAAAGTAAGAAACAAACTGTTGTGGCTCGGTCCAGTGCAGAATCTGAGTATAGGGCGATGGCTCATGTGACGTGTGAGATAACTTGGGTACACAATGTATTGAAGGAGGTTGGTGTGGAAGTGATGAAACCCATACGTTTATGGTGTGATAATCAAGCAGCTATACACATTTCAAATAATCCAGTGTTCCATGAACGTACCAAGCATATTGAGGTAGATTGTCATTTTGTGCGTGAAAAAGTTTAACAAGCCTTAATTTCTATGGCTCATGTTCGTAGTGGCGATCAACTAGCTGATTTGTTCACCAAAGGGCTCAGCAGGGGCAGGGTTGAATATATTTGTAACAAGTTGGGCATGATTAATATCTATGCTCCAACTTGAGGGGGAGTGTTAGAAATGAATAGTCATGGGAGATGGATAGGCATAGACATAAATAGACATAGGAGGTGAAGAGACTGTAAAACTGCCCCCACTTGTGTATATATAGATCTATGTTGCAGCAGTGAAGAACACACAGAAAATAGGAGAAACACATTCTTTGAAATCCTTTCTTTCTAGCAACAAGGGGCACTAAGAAAAAGAAGCATAATAAAAGCAAAGGAGATCTGGCATTCATTTCATGCAAAAGAGATTAATTGTGGGAGCAAAACTAAAGCAATAGCATGTAAAGAAATAAATGCACACCCAAAGTAGGAAAGCCAAGAAAACTAACAAACTACAATTCACTGCAGTGATGCTAAAGAGCTAGTGATCACTAATGCTATCCAGGAAAACAAAACATTCTAGTAGCATACCATGAGTTTTGAAAAAGTTTTCACTTCTGAGAATGCCATCGGCTATGACTACCCCACTGTGAAAACAAATAAATGATCAAAATATGTGGTATAGTTAAGGCAATAAAATATCATTTAAACCCAAATAGTTGAAAAGACAACTTACAAAATGTAAAATAAACCTGCTGTGAAATGAGATAATTGAAACACTTTGGCAGGGGTGTATATATTAACAAGGATCCACCAAAGTAGTATTACTTTTAAGTATTCTCAGAGTGAACAGACGTACTTCTTTACTGATTCTTATTCCCTCTCTTCGGATATTTTACTTCTTTCATTGTAAGAGAGCCTCCATGTTCACTTAAGTTGCATACATGCTTGGGACCATGATTTTTAGGAAGTCTTATTTTATTATATCACATAGTTTAGATATTAATAAATTACTAAATAGTTATTTAGAAACTAATAAATAGTTATTTAGAAATTACTAAATAGTTATTTAACTTATTATTCTTAGTCTTCGAATTAATTTAGATAGTTTAATTATTTAAAAGTAAATTAAAAGATTTCAGCAGATTACTTAGCTTATTTAGCCATTCTATGAGTTGTATTTTACCCTATAAAAAGGGAGTAGTATTCAGAATAATGAAAAGGAGCAATTTATTCCCAAAAAGGGTCAAAGGGAGTTTTGGGTCTCAAGTAGTCAAGCAAACCCAGTGTTTTCTTCTTTTCCTTTTCAACTGTTACAGCTCGTTTGGTTCGCTGGAAAATATTTGAAGGGAAATGGAATTGAAATTCCATGGAAAATAAATTCCAAGAAAACAGATTCCATTGCTTGGTTGGTGGAAAAGAAATTACTGAGAATATGAATTCCATTGTTTGGTTGAGTTTGGAAGGGTAAGGAATAATGAGTATAATGACAAATATAACCCTACACAATAATAATAATAATAAGAGTAATTAATAAAGAATGGTGAGCGTAAAATTGTCATATTAGTTTTCCATGGAAAACAAAATACCTAGCATAAGCTAGGAATTTGTTTTCCTTGTTCTTAAGGAAAACTTTTTCCATTGGAAAAAGTTTTCCTTCCAACCAAACAACATAAAACATCATTTTCCTTCACTTTTAGGAAAACATTTTCCATGAAAAATGTTTTCCATCCAACCAAATACCCCCTTATTCTTTGTTCAATTTTCCTTATGTTTTCATGCCCGTGACAGGAGAACATAACAGATGTACACTAATTTCTAAAAGCATAAATATGACATAGTTGGGTCTATCTTAAAAGCCAACAATTCCCTAGCATACAAAAACTTTTCATTATCTGTGTCTCACAAAAATGTACAAGATATATCATACGAATGGAATCTGAAAATTGGTCAAAGCTGCAGTTGTTATGTGTTATTACAAACTTAGTTATAGGTTTCTTTGCCAAGACATCATCAAAGAAACAAATCCTGAAAATGAAATGAAATAGAAGTTTCAGGCAGACAAAGGGGCACACAAACCCACAAAGTACCACATCTTCTTAAATAATTGGCAAATTAAGGTTTTGCAAATTTTGTTATTTATCACATGCTAAAAACTCAATGGTCATGGGTTTTATTGGAGAGTGTTAGTTTCATAATTAGCACATGTTGAATATCAAGAGATTTCCTTACCTAACTCTCAAGCCATATAAAAACACTGGGCTAATATAATCTTTCCATAATGTCTTTACCAACCTAGTAATCAGGTAATCAATCTATCAATTCTCTTTCAACTCATCTCTTGCTTAATGAACAAATCTTCTGCCTTCCCAACGGTGGTTGTGATTTTCCACTCAAAGGGGGCTTCCAATTTGTTACTTAAAACAATATATAACTACAAAGAGGCAGGAAAGATAGGACAATTACTGAATCAAACAACATAGCAATAAATTAATGCATTAAATTTAACAAATAAACACGATTTTTTACTTTATTCAACAAAACATCAAATATACACAACATGCCTTAATGAATTCCATACAAGGAGAAAAAGGTTGGATATAGTTACACTTAAAGCCCGTTAAATTGCTAAAAATCCAGTAAAGTTCATAACTTTAGAGGAATATTACCAGTCATTGCAAGGGTATAGAAGAATGAAAGAAAGGAGGTGTCAGCCACACCTCAAGAGAAAGGGATTATGTAACGAAGACTATTTTAGGGTTACATAACATTCATGAGAAGATTACGAAACAGAAAATCCCACTAAAAATGAAGTTGACCCCTTAAGATGACCATTGATATATTAGCAACAGAGCCATATGGAACTCCTTATAACACTATACATCAAATCCCACATCCACTTTGATGTACCAAAGAATCTATAAATAAATAAATAATAAATAATAGTAATAATAATACAAAATTCAACATAACAGTGATGAAGCTAAGTAGTAAGTAGTATGTATGATGATAATAATCACAATAGAAATAAGAAAGAATGCCAATAAGTATTCTTACCTTAAGATAAAAATTAATGTGTTAGCAATATACGCAACCATTTCCCTGAAAGAAAAGCAAAATATTAATAAAAAATCGCTCTAAAGTTGATCAAGCAAATACTGTTCGAAAACTGATGGCTTATGGGCATAGCTTTATCATTATGCACTATAATATATTATTAGTATAACTGGCTATTTTATAGTCCAATAAAATCAACACCATGAAGTGAGGGGGCATGGCACCCCACACTTATTTTGTTGATTACAAAAACATAAGTGCAAGAAGCGGGGTACATAACAGCCTTGTCTCCTTAACTAAGATAGGTGAAAAGGCTCACCATGTGCAGCGCAAAAGAAAAGATAAATTAGGATGACTCCTACTTTACGTTATGACCCAAAAATTTTATAAAAGCAAAGATTAAAGTGACTAAGGTTGAGTTTCAGAATATGATATTAGGGGAAATTGATCCCATTGAGGCCCCATCCAATTACTTCAATTTTCTAAAGTGCTCTCAATGATTGAGAACACTAGCACTTTAGGACTTCAACAAACTAAAGGAAGACTTTGTTTGATCACTTGCTGCATTCCTGGAGGCATGGTCTATAGTTTTGCATTTTTTGGTTCTAGATTCCCCATTAATTGCTTGATCCAAGTCTGCAACTTGGCAAAGACTTAATGGATCAGGTTGGGCATAAACTCTAGTTAATATGTGCCTGTAAAAGGATTCGTTGAATAATAGGAAACTCTAGTGAGTCTAGACCTTCCTAGTAAAAGTAGGCTTGGTTTGTAATACACACCCCAAGAAATGGGTGGTTTACTCATGCAGAAGGGGGATTCAACACAAGAATGGAAATCAAGAAATTTGGACAGCAAATCAAGCTAATCAGACAGTAAATGCACAGATCAGTGAAGAAGCTTAAATCATGGGATTTGACATTGTGAAAGAATGAAAGGTTTCATCTATTTCTCATTACTAGTGATGTACGGATTACAATAATTTATACAGAGAAAGCTATAACCTAATGGGCCCACTCCTAACAGGCCTAGGGTTTCAACACTCCCCCTCAAGCTGGAGAGTATAGATCATATGCTCCAAGCTTGTTACAAATATACCCAACTCAAGGAGCTCTAAGGGATTTTGTCAAGATATCAGCTAACTGATCTGCAGAATTGACAAAGCTGGTTTTGATGCACCCTGACACAATCTTCTCTTTGATGAAGTGGCAGTCAACCTCGATGTATTTAGTCCTCTCATGATAAACAGGATTTGATGCGATGCGTAGAGCTACTTGGTTGTCACATATCAATGTCATTTGAGCAACATTGCCACATTGCAACTCTTGTAGTAGTTTTAAGCCACATAAACTCACACGTGGCAAGGATATTCCGCTTCAGCACTAGACCTAGCAACAACATCCTGCTTCTTACTTTTCCAAGATATGAGATTACCACCAATGAGAACACAATAACCTGAAGTAGAGCGTATGTCAAAAGGGCAACCAGCCCAATCTGCATCACAATACCCAACAACTTGTGAATGTTCTCTATCTTCATATAATAAACCTTGTCTTGGTGCTCTCTTGATATACCTTAGAACACAAACAGTAGCATCCCAATGAGAATCACAAGGATTCCCAAGAAACTGACTCAACACACTAACTGCAAAAGAGATATCCAGTCGTGTGATCGTGAGATAATTCAACTTTCCAATTAATCTCCTATATCGTTCTCGGTCAGGCAATGGCTCCCCCTGTCCTGGTAGGAGTTTAACATTCGGATCCATTGGATTATCCACCGGTCTACAATCCAACATTCCAGTTTCTTCTAAAATATCCAAGGCATACTTCCTTTGAGAAATAACAACACCACTACTAGATTGAGCCACTTCAATTCCGAGAAAGTATTTCAGCTTGCCCAAATCCTTGGTCTGGAACCGACTGAAGAGATACTCTTTCAACTGAGATATGCCCTCTTGATCACTCCTTGTAATAACAATGTCATCCACATATACTACAAGGTATATGCATTTCCCATTAGAATGACGATAGAAAACAGAATGATCAACTGCACTTCTGGTCATATCAAACTCACACACCACAGAACTAAATCTTCCAAACCAAGCCCGTGGAGATTGCTTCAAACCGTATAAAGAACGACGAAGTTTACATACCAGACTAGGCTCCCCCTGAGCAATGTGGATAGATTGGGCTGAATTAGATACATAAATTTCCAATGACTCCAAATTAAGCCCTATCATGCAATAGCTTCGCAACGACCCGACCAGCCACCCTCCTTTTCAACTTCTTCAAGGGCGTTTATTTTATAAGGGACGCATTTCAAGCCCATATAACTCATGAACCCCAAAAGCAAATTCATTATCACAAAACCTTATTGTTTTCTTGGTATATCATCTTAGCTTGAGAAAAACTTGAAATACCCATATATTCTACTACTTTTGATCGTCACAAATCTATAGAGTATTTTTGAAGTGTATGCAAATTGTTTACTTCTATTGTAAACCATGTGGATTGTGCATGAAGATTGAGAAATCCCAATACCCAAGAGTACCCATATGTTTGACCATTACAACAAAGGGTTTTTGTTTATCATGCTACTCTGATATAGTAGTGACCCTAACAAGAAAGACTTGGCGTTCACTCTGCTGTTTTGGAACAACTATTTCCTTATAAGAAAGTTCCCATTTCATTGTGCCATCATGATAGAGTAGTTTCCCTTAGAATTAAAGATTTATGTTCATTATAGATAGTTTGGCTCTTCACCATCATTTGAAGAAGGTCACAGATAGTGAAATATTGAAATCCCAAGGGGAGCAAGATTAAGCCTTTGGAGTTTTGATCTACTATAAACACAGATACACTTTCCTTTTCTTTCAAGTTCGGTATTGCAATCTTTATATTTTATATTATGCAATGCTTAGAATTGCATAAAATTGAAAATAGGAAGTAGCCACTTGGTTGAATTGGCAAAAGTCTTCCACTTAGAGAGACTTTCATGTGCTCATTTTCTGCTACTTTTGTAGTAAATATTGTGCATAAATTTCACACCATAGACTGAAGGTAGGAAATTTACCAAAAATGATGCAAACTTTGTTGGCCTTCACCCTTAAAAGCAGTTTTAGCAACAGCAGAGTAGAACCTGTTTTTCCATTCCATGTCATTGAGTGTTTTTTGATGTTTTAGGACTTGTATGATATATAAATCAACAATACTTACATTCCTAGTGTCATGACAGTCAACACACCAGAAATATCAGCCACTTCTTGTGCCTGTTACATAGGAGCTGCAATTAGCTTTATACAAGGCATTGTAACTTGGCTAGAAAGACGTAAAGAACTACAGAAATGATAAACTCTATGCTGATGTTCCCAGTAACCGAATAATATTTTGATTTCCTTTTAAGGCCAGCACAAAAATATTGTCTATTTTTCTCAAATGGTTGGTTCTTTCTTTCTCTCAATCTCTTGTATAACAAAAATTTAAAATAAAAAAAATACAGTTTCAGAAAATGTGTTCTGATTTTGCAGTAAAGAAGCCCCAGCATACATGTACTTCCTTAGTAAAGAGAACACCATATTATTATCAAGAGTTTATTCTATTTCTAATCCATCAACTATAGTGGCATTTTCACTTTTAGTCTTCAACTTTTATTTGTTCCGCTTTTAATCCTCAACTTTAAAAAACATTCCAATTTTAGTCCAATATTCCCTTAAATACAATAGGGTGAGGTTTTCACTATGTGAGGGAATATTGGGTATTTTGAACTAAAAGTGGAACATTTTAAAATCGAAAACTAAAAGTCAAACAAATCAAAGTCAAGGACCAATAGTGGAAATACTACAATAATTGAGAGACCAAAAGTGGAATAAACTCTTATTATCAGTAAGTTGTACTTCAATCATTTTGCTTCACATACACAATGGATACTAAATTGTTATGATTATTTTCTATCACGGATGAAGGAATGTCCCAAGACATCTATTCAAATGATAACAAATGCAAACTTGTTCAGACTAAAACCAAAATGAAGCATATGATATACAATATAATTCACAGAAATCAAATAAGGCAAATACATATGTAATATGAGATTATTTGATTTATTTCCCATCCAAAGATAAGCACACAAAGAAGTTTCTCAGAGTTCCCAAGATTGAAGAGTGGCATACAGTGAAATAAGCGACATAGCTCACAGCAAGTGTCAGTGTGATCTCTATCACTGTGTCATTGAAAATAAATCCCAGCCATAAAACAGATGCCACTCCAAAGGCAAGACCAATGGCCACTCTGAAATGAAGAATAGATATTATCAGACAAGAGTACTTATGAAAATACATAATTAGAGCCAGAAATACATACGCCCCAAGGGAGACTTGTAGCAAAAATCTGATTATAGATCCCCAGTTAAAGCTCCATCCAAGAACCATACGGAGAAACAGCTGATATACAACAATTGCCGTCCTGAAGGGGCAAAACTAATTAAACTCAAAGAAAAAGTCAGGGAAAAAAAAAAAGAATAAAAGATGAGAAAGGGAACAAATGATTCCTGAATGTTACAATGGCCAACCATTGGCTGAAAATAAAGAAAAATCTGGGTGCTGTCTTTGATAAGTTACTTCAGTTAAAATGCATAATGAAACAACAGGAATGAATTACCCATCGTTCATCAGGGATTCTCCTTCAATTATGGTACTTAATTTCTTGCTAGCTCCAAGTTCTTTCAGTAAGGCTACAACAGCAACAGGATCAGTAGCGCTGAGGAGTCCCCCAAGCAACAAATTTGTTTTCCAGCTCCAGTTATATGGGAAAGTAAGCTGCAATTTGTCTTTATTTCAAATACTTACCCAAAGATTTATTTATACGATCAGAAAAATAAGACTAAATAAACCTTTAGAGCACATCCGAGAAAAAAGGTTGAAATGACCACTCCAGGCCCAGCAAGTAGAATCATTTGTACTATACACCTCTGCACTAACATTAAAAAGAAACAAATAAATAAAGTTAACAAAGTAGTCAAATAGCATATGAAGCACCAATCAGTAAATTACATCTTTATTGACCCACAGAAAGGTAATAATCAGATTGCATAGCAATAGGTCAAAAAATTGTACTTTTCTATGTCATCCGAAGTTCAAGCATTTTATACATCCAATCTGGGCACCTCAACAATGCAAGAAAGAATGATTCTATAGCATAACAGACTTGATACAAGGTACAAGAGATTACTAGCTTATGGAGTAACAAATAACAGCAACAACAACAGGGAAAAAAAAAAAAAAAAAGAGTAACATTTAGATGGACCAAATGTACAATGTGCCGGAAACCAAATAACAATAACAACAACAATAAAGGTAAACAGGAGTAACATTTGGATGGACCAAATGCACAATGAGCTCAAAAAAAAAAAATATGATTATCCACAGGTCTTGGCATTTCTCGTCGAAGATAGTGTGGAAGGAAAAAATAGAAACAAATCAAACAATTCAATGAATAGGTTTCTAACCTTTATCTGGTGCATTTCCATTGAGAATGAACTCTCAAAAAGAAGTGCAGGAAGGAAAACAGCCAACAACAGGTCAGGATCAATATTTGCCCCTGTAGACAAGAAGCTATTGATAATTATGGGAAAAGAAGTGATACAGTGAAGCCAAAATAGTTCAACATTATGCCAGTAGATGACAAAAAGCAGAAAACTGACTTCAATTTGGGAAGAGAATAAATTGCACATTTGCACAAGCAGAAAATTGAATTCAACTGGTGCAGAGAATAAATTGCACTTACAGATTCGAATGCCATTTCCAAGCTTTCCCAACTGACTATGCTTTCCATAATCTGCACAATTGGTAATACTAAAGAGTTCAGCATTTAAGTAGAATATAATAGTTAATAGCAATTCAACCCGATCTTGAAAATATATACATACACACGCACGCACGCAGGACACACACACAGACACATGTATGTATGTATGTATATGTGTGTGCATCAAAATTATGTCCACAGATCAAGTAAAATGACTCAACTAATAATAGAAAAACTTGTTTCTACTCAAGGTTGGAAATACCCAGACAGAAAAAGAAATTCAGAAAATAAATATATAAACCCAAAAAAAAATAGTGACAGCAATCTATATTCCCAATTTCCTCTAACTGACAATCAACTACGTAACATCCAGTTGTGAACCCTGAAGCAGTGAAGCCCATATTTGAGGAACACTAGGAATTTAGGTGCCATTTAGGTCTAGGCATAAGCTATTTCCACAAAATAGTAGTTAAGCAGCCAAGATATACTATGATACTAATGACAAGAAAAAGAGATCTACTAATTTTCAATAGCCAATGTAGTCAAATGTATTGCTCTCAATCTGCCTAGCATTCTCTGCATAAAGCAATTTCCCCTCTCTAAATAAAATTTATGGATGACTTCTTGGCAACCTCAAACTCATTATTAGTTCATAATAAGAAGAAAAAGTAAACAGCAAAATTGTGTAGACCTACTCCAAATTGCTTTTATTTTTATTTTTATTTTTATTTTTTTCATTTTTCAAGATCAAATGTGCCTTTCTACAACTTCCAATGTTTACTCCACATGCAAACCATTGCATTATGAATTCATAACAAGTATAAAGTAAATAGCAAAAAAATCTCCATGTAAGTCCAAATACTTTGCTTTTTTTCTCTCGTTTCCGAAATCAATCTACAAGGTGATGCCTTTTGACAATTTCAAATTTTACTCCACGTATGACCAAATAATTATTAGTTCAAAACAAGTATGAAACCTATACAACTGAACAGCAAAAAAAAAAAAAAAAAATGACGATCCAACTCCAAATGCTTTGCTTTTCTTATTTTTTGAGACTCAATTTGTAAGGCTACGCCTTTTGACAACTTAAAGTTTCACTCCAATTACAAACAATTGATTACTAGCTCAAAAAAAAAACCACAAATCAAATGAGCAGAAGACGTCATCTAGTTCTTTTATTTATTAAAAAAAAAAAAAAAAAAAAAAAACAACCTACCCAAGGCTCCGAGGCCAATGCCCAGGATGAGCAAAGCGACGGTGTAGGGCACTCTGGTACCCCTCAGCACATGCCTGCAAGCGATTCCTAACACCAAGCTGATACCCACAAAGATCACCGCGTCCGTTGGATTGTATTCGGTAGCCGAGCTCCCCTCTTCCAGCACTCTGAACGGCGTCGTCACCAGCATGGAAGTCATGCTAGATTCCTCTTCCACTTCAGCAGCAGCTCAAGCTCAATATTCTACAGTTCAAGTCGTTGACTTGGGGATTCTATCAGTGAGAGTGTGAGACGCACGCAATCACGAATGGCTGTGGAACATGAAAAACTGGCTTCCATGAAACTTCACTATCAAACTATCAATATATCGCTGCTATGTTTGGACTGATTTGATGTTCAAATCGTGGGATGGTGACATTTTTTCTATTTTTATTCGTATTAGTGGAGCTGAAGGGGATGATCGAAATAAAAAATTGAGAGTCAACACTCAACAGTGTTGTTCGAATGGCATCCTATTCCGAATTGATAGTAAACGGTGTTGTTCGAATGGCATCCTATTCCAAAGTAATTAAGGGTCCGTTTATAAATTTTATAAAATGACATTTGGAAGTCGTTTTTTCAGAGCTTTCAATGTTTGTCTATTAACCAAAAAAAGTACTTATTTAGGTCAGTAGAAAAATGACGTATTTTAGTGAAAATTATTTTTTAGGACTTTTACTCATTATGCATTTTTTAAATTCTTACCTCACATTCATTTTTCTGTCTCGCTTTGAGTAATGTCGGATAAGTAGGTTGATTTGTCAATTATCTAGTTATTAATTAAATTATATTGGCTAGTTTAGTTAAAATATGAGTCTGATCGTACTAGACAAAACAAGGGAAAATAGCACTTTTTCCCCCTGAGTTATATACTTATAGTCATTTTTCCCCCTCAATTATTTAGGTAAGCACATTAGCCCCCTCAATTATTCTAAAAGTGGTAGTTTTTCCTCCTGATATATTAAATTGACATTTCTACCCTTAAAGTAAACATTTTATTTATTTTACTTCTCCAACAAATTATCGCGTATACGTAGGGATGACCATGGTTCAGATCAAACTGAACCGGACACTATAGCAATTGAATTAAAAGTTTCCGGTTATGATTCAGATCTAGAACCTAATATTTGAATTTCAATTTATTAAAATTATGAATAAAAAAATTGGATCTTGAACCGTGAATCGGCGATTCTGGATCCGGTTCGCGATTTTGAACCGTCTTTATTTTAAAATTTTATTTTTTATTTTAAATAGTCTAAATTCAACAATAAATGTATTTTATTTTTTCAGTTCGGAACATGAATCGTCTGTTCCAGTTCACGATTTTAATAAACTCTAAATATCGAGTTTCGATTATTCTAAATTATAATTGGAATATTTCGGTTTGGTTGTTATAGTGTTTGTTTGGTTTGAACCAAATTATTGTCATAATTTGTTGGAGAAGGAAAATAAATGAAATATTTATTTTAAATATTTATTTTAAGGGTAAATATGTCCATTTAACATTTTAGGGGGAAAAACAGCCACTTGAATAATTCAGGGGGAGAAAGTGCTATAAGTATATAACTTAGGGGGAAGAAGAGACAATAAATATCTAGTTATTAATTAAATTATATTGGCTAGTTTAGTTAAAATATGAGTCTGATCGTACTAGACAAAACAATAAAGATTTTGGCTCAAACCGGCCCATAGCCCAAAACGTTAAAAAACACATTTAAATTTGTTCATCAATTTTTTAAGTTTAAACTTACTAGTATTTTCTCTCGTGCGATGCACAGAATAGATTTTTTATAATATTTTAAGAATATTTTGATCAATATACAATTATATAAATTATAACATCGAATATCATATAATGCAATTGAAGAATTGAGTTAGATCGATTGTATTTTCTTATGTTATCATTGCTTGAATTCGAGAAAATAATTGTCCAATTAATAGCCAATGTGTAGATGTAGCATCCGGTGCTTAAACTTTAAATATCTTATATATCAGTGTTTAGGATTTGTATTAATTGGGCAAATTTGCTCGTTGTCTAGCAACGTAGTTATAGAAATCATTTGCTATCCTAATTTATTTGTATGAAATATATATTTTCTGTGTAGATATATTAAATGTGACACCCCGTAAATCCGAATTCTATTTAGGGATTAATTAAGTAATTAATCATAATCTAATTGACAATTTATTCTTTAATTCCTGAAAATTTAATAGTCGAGGACTAGTAATTGACTAGTCAACCCAAGTCAATGAATTGTACTCTAAGCTTTGTGAATAGTTCCCTTGTTCCCTTACACTTTTTCATCTTAGTAAGGGTAATGAAGACATTTCACCTAATGATTGTATTCCAAGCTAACCTAGAAGACATCTTTCATTCTTTCTCTTACACTCTCAAAACAAAAGCTCCTCATTCTCTCTAGAATTTTAGCTAGCTTCTCCTTCAAGCTAAGTTTGGGCATTCCAAGATCTTCCAAGTTTGTCTCCAAGATTCCACCTTTCCTACTCTTGAGCATCTAGGAGGGTAAAATCAATGGTCCTTTTGTGTTTTTAGTGCTTTCTAAGGTATCTTTTTCTAAAGATGAAATCTTTATGGTCTTTTGGTGTGTTCTTGAAGTTGTGGTTGGAGGTGAACCTTGTTAGGAGCTTGAAAAGGTGTATTAAGTGAAGGTTTAGACTACAAGAGGTAACTCATGCTTTACAAAATCTATTTTCATTACCTATATGATAATTTCTTGGATTCTACTTGTGATTTTGCTATGAAATGTGAGTGTTGATGCATTGTCTTGTGAAAATGCATATCTAGAGCTTGTTATTAGGGTTCTTGTATGTCATTGCTTGGTTATTCCTTTGATTCAAGTCATATTGTTGTATTGTGTGAGATTTTGGGTGTTTTGGACTTGAATTTGAGCTTGGTGTTGAAAATCCCCGAAGGGATTATTGTGGTACAGGGCATGTACCCGCGGGCGGAACGGCGGGCAGAGCTCCACCCGCCGCCCCACCCGCGGGGTACAGGTGGTTCTTGGCCTCGTACCCGCGGGGTACAATGGTGGTGATTGTCGGGGATTTGTTCCCCGTGACTCTTTTGACTCGGTATTCGATGTTTTGACTTCCCGATGTTCTTTTGTTGGGCTTTTGAGTGTCTTCTTGATGTTTCGTATGTCTAGAACTATATGGTAGGATTCCATGTAGGTTTTGGTGTCTTGAATCGTGCTAAGTGTTCAACCTTGTGATTCGTTGAACCATGATGAGTCTTGTATGTTCTTCGGAACTATGTTTTGTTTAACCGTTTGATAAGCATGCTAGTTCGGTGTTGAAATGCTAGCGTGTGTAGTTTGTTCTTTCCTATTGTGGATGATGACTTGCGTTGATCATCGTTGTTGTCGGATTGTGATCCTTTCCTTGATTGAGTATGGTTTCATATCTTCGTTGTGATCCGTTGATTGATTCCTATGATGGTGTTGTGTGTGTGGCTGTACTTGGATTACACGATTAATGGAATGGGACATTAGTCACCAAGGTACGGCAGTGGTCCTCGTGGTGGCTATGACGTGATTATGGAGTTATGAACTGGGCTATAGGCTCATATTTGCGAAGTGGGCTTCAGGCCGTGTGAATTGAACGGTACCCTCGTGTACTATGAAATCGGTGGTTGTTGATTTGGTGGGTATAGGTGGGGAACGACGATTCCCAGAGGCATAAGGTTGGACTTGTATGTACAGGGGTCCTGGAGGTAATGGTTGGAACTAGCTATAAGGTTGGGGGTAGCCATAAGGTTGGAACCGGGCATAAGGATGGAACATGGATTGTGGAAATTGTGACATGTGTTGTCACGGTGGCATGTGTTGCCAATGTGTGGATGTTATCCTTATCCGTTGAGTATGTCGAGTGGTATTCTACTTTGTGATCAGTAGAATACACCTCGAGTTGTACTTGTTGTTGTTGTTGCCTTTGCCTTGATGATTTCTGCTTTGTGATCAGTAGATTTCATCTCATGCGTGTTGAGTGTTCTGTTATTGTCATTCCTTGATGTGTCTTGGGATGTGTTCCCTTATCCTTGTTGTGAATGGTATAGAGTCTTTGTGGTTGACTTCTATCTTGGGTTTTAAACTGAAATATATACAGTATTCCGTTTCGAAATGATTTTGTTAATAATTATCTATTTATATATGCTATTGACGCGTATTGATGGGTTACCAGCATTATTCGCTGACCGGGCGTCGTCCCATTTATTTATGTGATTTTTAGGTCCCGAGTAGTGGCGAGCGCGATATAGAGATGACTAGTGTAGTTCCCCCAGACTCTGTTAGTTTTGTTATGGGCATGTGTGCCTCTTATGATGAACAATAGATTGTTGTTGGTTTGACCTTGTCTTATGATAGACTCTTAGACTGTTGTTGATGATGTTGTTGCATGTGCGTTCACTTGGTGTGGACGTGGCATAACACTCTCCGTTTTCCAGTTTTATTTATATAGACTTCCGCTGTGTTCTGCTTATGTTTGTGGTTAGATTATCTTGCATATTTAAGTTTAAAATGGCTTGAAAATCGGGGGTGTTACATTAACAAATTCATTCTGTGTAGATTTATTAACAAATCCATTATGTGTGAGTATATTCAGTATGAGTATGAATGTAAATTATAGTATGAGTCTAAACTATAATATTAATCTAATATTAATAAATAAATAATATAAATTATATATTCTGTGAGTAACAATTTTTTTTTTTTTGTGATTATATTCTGTGTAGAACAAATTTATTTTGTGATAAATTTTTAGAGTTTTTTGTACTTTTGGTCCCACGACTATAGTGACACTAGCAGAATTGATCCACGACTTTTGAACCTTGCAATTTTAGTCCACGACTATTGATTTTTTTGCAAAAATGGTCCTTCCGGCCACTTTTCCGTCAAAATTTCACCGGAAAATTTTTTTTATCCATTTTTAACAGGGCTAAAATTGACATTTTACTTATCTCAAAAAATAAAAGAAAAAATTGACATTTGACTACATACAATATTACTGGGCTACATACTACTGCCCCAGGCGGCGGAGTTCCTGGAGCAGGTAGGGCTGTCAGTAAGCGGCGGAGCGGCCGTGGCGTTCCCCGGGCTAGTTGGGTTATCCGGCAGCAGCATTGGAGGCGGAGCCAGCACGCCTGCAGGATCATCCGAAGACATCAGAAAAGCTTCGTTGTATAGATTTCCGGCGAGAGAAGCGGCGGAGATTCTCAAATGCAATCGCTTTTACCTTTCCGTTTTATGTATTTCCTTTATATTTTGAGATAAGTAAAATGTCAATTTTAGCCCTGTTAAAAATGAATAAAAAAATTTTCCGGTAGAATTTTGACGGAAAAGTGGCCGGAAGGACCATTTTTGCAAAAA